AGAATTCCTTTATTTGTCCCGCAACGGGGAAATGTACATTATTACAACAGCAGAAGTATAGTGCAGATAAAGTAAAGAGAATAGACTTACGTAAGTATGCACACGTTATTATTAATAAAAAACACAATAAGCAAAAAAACTAATAGCAGATAAGTACACGATGGTAAAGAAAGTAGCAGTATATTTAAAAAAAAAAAAAAAAAGGGTTACCATATAACATTTAAATGATAGCTCGTATTGTTTGCAGTTAATACAAATAAATTGTGAATAGATAGAAACTACTCAACTGTAAAAGCCTGTCACACGAGCGCCGCCGGGAGATATTTTTGTAATGAACTTTCTTTTTTGATTGACATGACAGCTTCCTTTTATCGCCATATCTCCGCAACTAACGATGAGGTCACAGCCATGTTGGGTGGTATCAAGCTTCAGATGGCCGTTGGTGACATCACTAAGGAGAACACTGATGTCATTATCAACACAACTGACTTCTCCAACAACCAATCTGGTATGATTCATTTTCTAAATGTTTTGATTTAAATAAAACTGTAGAGTACCACGGCACCTCACACTGGTGAGCTTTTTATACAGCATATTCATACAAAAGATCCTAAAGTAAATGTGTGTTTTAAAACTCCACAGGCGTGTCAAAAGCCATTCTGACTGCAGCGGGGCCCAGTGTCCAAACACAATTGGCACAAGGTAAGCACAACACTTCATCACACAACAGTAGGGCAGAAACGGATAATAAATCACATTTACTTGCGGAGATGTTCTTAAAATGTGGTTTAAATGTGTGCTGCACATGGCTTCATTTTTACAAAACTAACATTTTATACATAATCCAACATGATGGTTTTTCATATATCATATTTTCTTAATATTCTTTCTGGCAGTGAGAACTCCTGCAGACTTCATGTGTACTACAGGACCCGGGGGGCTTGCCTGCAAGGAAATCATACATGCTTGTTTCCAGAGAGACCATGAAGTGATTCGTAAGAATTGCAAAAATATACTGAAGCACTGTGAGAGCAAAGGCTACAGCTCAGTGTCCTTCCCTGCTGTTAACACTGGTTAGTACTGCGTGTGTTAATGTGTACTTTGCATTATGTTTGACACCAAATGTGTCTTAATGATCCAAATGTTGTATGATTTTCTATCTAGTTAACTTGATTACAAATCTCACAAATATATACATAATACATGAAATAAAAGAATAACATGTCCAAGTAGTAGAAGTGCCATACAGTTATTTCCAAGTTAGAAAACATTGATACAAATTTGACACGTTTCAAAAATAAAGGTCCCAACCAGTCACTGCAGCAGTATAATAAGCATCATTGGTGTCTTTATATCCCATCAGGTGCAGCTCATATGGACTTCACCAAAGCATGTAAAGCATTGCTGGATGGCATGACCTCAGCTATTATGGACTTGAAACCAAGTTGCCTCAAACTTATCCGCATTGTCATCTTCCAGCAATCGGTCTTTCAGGCTTTCAGGTCAGATATAAACCTCACTCATACAATGGAAGGTAAAGCTTGCGTTGTAGCATGGGTTGCATTGTTCGACCTGTCAGAATCGCTTGTTTCAAAGCTCTTATCTTTTGTGTTTTTTCAGATCAGAGCTGGAGAACCGCTTTGGACAAACAGCCACTCGCCACCTAAGCCTAAGAGGTTTGTTTTCATTTATAAGTGAGGAAAATGTGATACTTCGTGCAGGACAGGCGTCACAAATAACTATTTGAACAGTCCCAAATTCATTGCAAACAATCATAATTTGTAAATGATAAACTTTGACTTTGTTATTGTCATCCCTAATGGTTATTTACATGAAGACACACTATTTAAATGTTTAGGGAATACATCATGTCATGTACATTGTTGTCAACAAACAAAAAAGTTACATTGGTATATAGTTATTTTGGCTCATGAAGTGATGGGAAAAACATTCTCAGTTAAGTAGATTTCGTGAGTGTAAGACGTGAAGACTATCTTATCCTTTGTCTCTTTTTCTTGCTTAGAAAAAGCTAAACAAATGCACAAGAAGTGGCAGGAGACAAGAACAAGGACCACTGCAACACCTAAAGGCAAAATCTTCGCATCCTCAAAGCCACCTCCAGCTGTGATAAGTGTGATTGGTTGTGGTCCGGACATCATCAGGACCATGAAGAGAGATTTGGAGGGGATCCTGCAGAATCAGCTGATGGAGAAAGACGTGGATGTGGAGGATTTCTCCAGGCTTGATGACATGGAGCGGGAGGCAGTGCAGGCAAAGCTCAAAGTCTTAGGAGTGAGCCTTGAATACAAGAAACGTCAAAGTTCTGAAGGTCGGAATGGGAACAGAGCAGAAAACACGGCCAGAGCTGAAGCTAGAGATCGTTCAGGGTCAGGAACAGAGGTCTATGTGCTGAAAGGCCTGAAAGAGGACGTGTTGACCATCATCGAGCTTATAAACAAAGCAATCAGAAAAGCACTTAGCGAAGACATCGAAGAAAATAATGAAGCAACGTTAGCTCTTGATGTCCAGTGGTCAATTCAGGATACAAATAAAGTCTGGCGCGAGCTGAGCCTGCACGACAACTACATTCTGGAGGAGGCTCACAAGAAGAAACAAGTTTTTGTAGACATCACCTCACCAGACAGAATAAAGGTGTCCGTGAACCTGAAGGAAAATAAAGCCACTAACCAGCTTACAGGAATCACCTTCGAAGTGAAAAGGAACGAGTCTGACACAAGTATGCTGTTTTTTACGAAACTAAACTTTCTTTCAATTGATTTCTGTTTTTTGAATTTGCAACAATGTGTAAAATACATATTATTTATTTATCAGCCTTGGAGTTGCCGGAACATTGGGAACCTATGCATGGAGGAAACTTTAAAAAGGTGGAGCTGCAGCCTACGTCTTCAGAGTACAAGAATATAGCGCAGGGTTTCCTCCAAACGGCTAAATACAACATTCACAAAGTGAGTATGATGACACAAAAACAAGTTTCTCAAAATATGCCTTTTGAATTATTTAAATTCTATTATTTACACCTTTGCTTCTGCTACAATGACATGTCTTTTGTGAGAAAGTATGTAACACCTACCGTACAGAATAAGTAATACATTCATTTTCTCTGATCCCAGATTGAACGAGTGCAAAACCCCTTCCTGTGGTATGGCTATACTGTGCTCAAGAAACGTTTATTAGCCAAGAATGACACCGCTGGGGATGGGGAGAAATGGCTCTACCATGGCACATCAGCAGAGTCTTGCAACTGCATTGAAACGGGCAAATTTGACAGGAACTTTGCAGGAGCACATGGTAAGGAATGCTCTAACATTGCTAAGCTAACCTCCTTATGTCAAGCCTTTTTTAACTAGGGATGTCACCGTTCACACATTACCAAGTTTGACCCGTAATTACAGCATGGATGTTTACCATGATTTGCATGGCAGTTTAAACGCAAAGAAGGCGGAGGAACTGGCTGCAATAAACTACATGTTTTGCACTGACTGGAGACTACTGGACTTCAGTAAAAAACCATCACTACCTCACTGTAACCGCAAAACTCATGTGTGACGATAACGGTGAAAAGGCATTTTGCTGAAGCTGGCTAGTTTCCTAAAGACGCACAGGAGTGAGAGATAGCAGACAAGCTAACCACTGCAGGAACAGATAGTGCTTGCAATCTGACACCAATGGCGCATTTCCACTACACGGTCGGCCTCGGCCACACTCGGTACGGCTCGGTACGGCTCGGTACGGCTTGGCCGCGTTGGGCCTTAACAGGGCCGACTCACTTCATGCTGCGCTTCCATTACAGTTTAGGAACTGGGGTAGTTACTATAGTAACGCAGTGTAGGCGGAGCCGTGACGTCATCTTCAATGAGAAATCCAGAAACACAACACAGCCGTTAGCTGTGAGCACTCAGAGCTCACAGCTCCTTATATATGTTCAGAAACTCGACAAAAGTTAAACAAGTACACACCACAGACTGCCTGTGTCATGGTGAATACAGTCGCTGCTTTATTTATGTCTGTATAGGCCGTTGTTGTGAGTGTGGACGGTCGGGGCATATACTGCGTTAGCTTAGCCAATCTCCATCTAGAAAAACACGAATTTTAAAAGGTTTTTTGCCTGCCGTCTGTCTGCAGACTTGACAAAGCATTAATTCATGGTTTTTACTAACCGGTATCAGTATGTTGTTACTTCGGCATCATTTTGAAACGTGTATTACAATTAAATCACGGTCAAATATGTCCATCTTGTTGTAGTTTTATATATATATTATACAGAGGGGGATCACAGCAGTTCTCTGGAACAGCGGCTTTGTCAACTCTTAGGCTTAGTGTCGAAAAATGTAAGGACTTCATGCGAATAACTCAGAAATCATATTATAAGTTAAGATATCTACATGAGCATATAAGAATATGTAAGAATAGAAATTTGATATCAAAAGCTATTAACTTGACTAGTGAAAAATAGATTGTATATATCTTTCATTGGAACTGCTACCACTCAAAATTACATATTACAGATATGTTTGCTTTCTAACCTGTCAAAAAGCATGGCTACTACATCTGCTGATTGTAGTAGCCATTGGGCCTGCCAGAGTGAAAAATATTGACATTTCTTTTTTTTTTTTAATTCTATCACAGCTGCTGTATATGGAAAGGGAGTGTACTTTGCAGTCACTGCGGCATATTCGGCTGATAGGTGTTCCCCGGCAGACGCGTCAGGCATGAAGAGGCTGTACGTGGCTCGAGTCCTGACCGGTCGCTACACCATCGGCCATTCTGATCTGAAAGCCCCCCCCCCCTCGAGGCTCAGACAAAACTGACTGCTTTGACAGTTGTGTGGACAAGCAGCAGAACCCCTCCATGTTCGTGATCTTCCACGATGACCAGGCCTACCCAGAACACCTTATCACCTTCAGCTGAGTGTAACTAAAGCAAATGGTTTGTTACACTTTGGAATGTGCCATAAAGATTCTATTATAGATATTCTTTTCGTGAGCTGATTTGGAATAGAGATGTATCTCAGAAGCACTTTTAAATAACCGTAAAACAATCAGATGTTGTGACAAATAGAAGAGATGCCATTTAACACATCCTCCATGTGTATTCAACAGCATTGTATTGAAGGACAAAGCTTTAACACTTGAAATTATACTTTCATTTTGGAGATCCTTTAATTAAACCGAATATCTTCCAAAGCTGAACACTGTATGTGCCATACAGTAAAATGTGATGCTAGTGTGATTCTACTTCAATTTTTTGGTATGCAATAACTTCAATCATGCAAAGATTGTTATTTTAAGGGTTATTATACTTTCATTTATTTCATTTTAACGTTTAATACAGCATTTTAGAAGTATTTATTTTGGTTTTGTTTCCTTTTTAAATTGCCTTTAAACATTATGTATTTAGTTAAGGTAACCGGTTCAACATTATGCATATTATATTTACTGTATATCAGACACCTATTCAAACAATATATGTAAGAATCAGACTCTGTCTATACATAAAACAAGCAGCCAGTCAAGGTCACTGCATTTTTTTTTAATCATATTTTCTTTGATTGCACAATGAAGTTTTTTAAAGATGGCATTATAAATGTATTTTCTTTCCTTTCCTTGAAGTGAATACATGAGCAAAATGAAGGAGCATCTGTGTGTTCATTAACAGTGCCATTAATATACATTACATTTGTAACAAGAAAAAATTGATTTATTTTCAATGTTTTTCCAATAAATGCACTTTAATTGTACATTTGAGAGGCAGTGCACCATCCTCAACAATGAAAATAAAAAAATATGATATAATGATTTATGTTGTACATTATGATTCAAAGGTATCGAGACATATTGGCAATCGTGTCATTTAGAAATCATGAACGAGTACAGAATATAACCATTTTAACATGACATATCTTTCAAAACAAATATTCAAACAGTTAAAAAGCTTTTTTTTTTAATTCATGAAATTATACAAATGCAAGTCTTATCAATTCCATTGTGTTCCAACACAGAAAAAACTATTGTATTCTCATTTTTAACTAACAAACAACGTCAAGTGTTTGAAGCTAAAGTCACAGCCTTTTTTTTAACCTTATGATCGTTTGATCTGATCAAAAACCGACTGATCAATTATTTTATTTTACAAAGGGAAAAGCCAAAATCCACTGAAGGAGCAGTACTTATTGACATTATCACTTATCCTCCTATTGTGCCAGACACGAACACTCACGTTGTCTCCAACTTGCAGCTGCAAAACAGCACTGTTAGAGCCGGATTGGGGGTTATGATCATCTGAACCATACCATGACACTACTTGGTTTTCGTTTAGGAACAAACTGCTACCACAGTCTTCATTACCAGCCCAACAGAAGGAAGTGAAGGTGAAATAATACACTCCTTGCACCGTTGCTGTAAAATAACCTGTAGAGAAAGAGAGAGAAGAAAAAAACAAAAGTTTGTGTATCAAACCTGCAATTCTTCCATAGGTGGTGTGATTGTAAGTTGAAAGAGTGAAATTGTAGGACATTGAATACTGACCTGAGACTGGGCTGTAACGTTCTCCAATGTTTGAAAGAACACGTTTGTACACCAGAGTGTAAAGGACATTCAAAGGACCAATGGTGCCATCTACTGGAAGTGCAGCTGAAAATGCAACCCGAGGCCTTCCTGAGAGACAAACAAAATATAACAATATTGAGAGATAATTAAAAGGGTCCCTTTAAATCTCGCTGATGCCTTCTACCCAGCAGATGCACGCAGACTTCAAACTCCCACATCCAGCCACTCTCTTCAGACTGCAGTAACCCCTCCCCTGCCCAGCGGCTCACCTGTTCTGCTTTCCCCTTATCAGCCTGTCAGTAACCCAAATGTACCAGTCAGTCCCCTGTCATTTGACCGATCTCCTTGACATTGTGTTGTTTCGTGCCTTGATTTTGAGAACCTAACCAGAATTGTTATCTGCTCACTTGCACTTATTTGCTTCTGTTTACCGATAGACTCTGTTTGTTGTGATTGGACTTTTTTACCTATGCCAATAAGCTCATGTTTTCTTCATTTTATCACTAAAACCCTGAACTGTTCCTTTTTGCCTGTCTGTGTTTGAGACCTCATCCCCCTGTATTAACACAATATGTCAAAGAAGCTTTGACCCTGAAAAGGGAATCCTTTTGAAGGCGAGAGATAATACCAAAGAGTCATTACATAAATGTAAGTGCCAAAATAAATTATGTGCAACTCTAGCTTTGGTGTACGTTCATACTTGAAGAATTAAGCTCACTACAGGTTATAAGTATATTGTACTTCATACCTTGATCCACTGTACTTAGTTCAGTCACCCTGCTGTCGAGAGCAGACAGCTTCTTCTCGCTGGCCTCCAGCTTTTTGTTTGTTTCCTCCAGGGTTCGCACAGTAGCCGCAAGCTTTTCTTCCAGAGCCCCCAGCTCCTTCAGCACCGTGTAGATGGGTCGCTCACAGCTTGGCAGCGTTTCTGTTGAGTTTGTGGTCAATATGACTGGTGCTTCTAGCCCTTGGTTTAAAATCTGGAGAGAATCCGTCTCTACCCGGTTGTTTGCATGGATTTCATTGTTCGCCTCCTGGTTCAGATTGTCAATTCCTCCAGCCTGGCATTGTGATGCAGCAAGCAACCACACAACCATGGTCACTGACAGTCTCTCCATTGTTCAGCCTGAAAAGCACTTGTTAAATGTATTGGAAGGACTGTTTACTGACAGTGAAGACATCCATTTATAAAAAGTCCAGGTTAATCATTTGTCCAAACTATTGCATACTGTAGATCAAAGCTGAAAAACAGATAACATAAAACACTTGACCTATTTCCTCATTGCAATTTGTCAATTGCTTTTGTTTTGTCGACATTGTTGACGTCTAAAATGTCCATTTAGGATAATAATCTAAATGTCCTACTTGATAGGAGAGATTTTGGTGGAGAACAACTGGTGAGGTGGTCAAGCTCAAACACATTTTGCGGAATGTCATAAGTACAGTAGCTCCATTTAATGAAAAATACGCAGCTTTTCCAGTGGCACAGAGTTCACAAGGTGTTATCTGGACATGGAGTCAGATGATTAATGTATAGTTCTTCTTCCGGGTCTTTTTTTGGGTTCAGGAATTCATATATTTTTTTAAAACCTCTCGTGTTGGTGCCAAAAGTCCATATCATCTTTTTCTGTCACAATATACAACATACTCTGTAGCCTTTATCACACTTGATGAGTGAGTACAGGTTAATTATTTGTATTTATAGTTTATGGATGAAAAATCCTTTGTGGAAAATAATTTTATGAGCAATAACCATAAACACAAGGTACAAAATAAGCAATCATTTCCCATAAAAACACTTCAGCTAGTTTCCGTCCGGCTCCTTGACAATTGTTTGTTTCTGGGTCAAGGTCATAGTTGAGGTGAATGCTAGGGAAGTATTTTATCTGGCTCTTGATTGACTGCTATTAACTCAAATGAATCCCTATGTTCTTCCTTGATGAACATTTCAACGAGTTAAGGCCAAGATTCAGCTGACACTGGATCTCTATGACCCAGTTGCTATGAATAGCTGCTTGTTTTGCAGTGAGCAAAGTTGAATCCGAGATAGAGAGAGAGGGGGGTGGATAAGAGTGGGACAGAAATATCTGGGGAGGCAAACAAAGTTAATAAAAGGTTAATCTTTAAAGGAATTCAAGATAACATATTGTGCTGTATTTCAGCAGTAATTCTAAGAACTTTAGAGTTACTTAAAAAGTTACGCCTATCCGCAGACATGGACTTTACTAGGTGTACCCTTCCAATGGAATGGGAAGAACGATGGAGGAGAGAGAAAGAGCGGAGGAAAAGAGCGATTGAAGATGGTGGCCAAGAAGGGATTGAACAGGACAACCGTGAGCTGAGGAGGATTGTGGCCTTCAATGACTCCAGAATGGGGCTCACGAGTGGGAGGGGAAAGAAAGAGGGGTCCGAGGACAGGATGATTGGTACTTGTAAGGAAGGAATTGGGCAGAATATGCACGAGGACACATTCGGGCATGAAGGACTTGGGAATGTCCACACATACCGAAATGAAACCTATCCTAAAGAGATATTCATTGCCTTGAAAGAATTATTGGATTCTTCTCTTCTGACTGACCTGACTCTGACCACTCATAATGGAAAAAGCTTTAACGTACACTCCCTCATCCTCGGTGCAATCAGTTCCTTTATCCAAGAGAGGCTGAGGAATGGAAATGAAGAACGAATACACAATGATGACGACCAAAGGTGGTCAGTGTCTCTGTCTCCTGAGGTTGATCCTGTTGGGCTGAAGGCAGTTTTGGAGTTTGCCTACACTGGAGCCGTATTGTCCTTGAACAGAGAGAGCATGACCTCGATTGTGGCTGCAGCTCAAGCAATGGACATCCCTAGATTGCTGGAATTCTGCAACAAAGAGGAGAGGATGAATGAAGGTAGAAGTCCTAAGAAGGAAGAGCGAAAGTACTCTGCCCTAGAACAGATGAAGATAACTCTTCAGTCCATTGAGAAGTTGTGGCTGGACATAGTGGGGTGTAACGTGATTTTAGATGTGGGCGGTGCTGTTTTCTATGGTGAGTAGACAATCACACCATTTCTTGGTAGGTATCTTGTTAATGATTTCATTTACTAGACTCTTCTTTTTTTTGTTTCCAGTCCACAGAGTTATCCTTGCAGCAAGCAGTGACTTTTTCCGTGGCATGTTCACCTGTGGTATGAGAGAATCACATCAAACCCGTATTTCCCTTCCCTTCATATCTGCGTCTGAGTTAGACGTTCTGATCAGATGCTCCTACAGTGGCACGCTTCCACTTAGCTGGGACTGTGTCTTTGAGATGACATGCACGGCCCTCCAGCTTCAATTCCAGCCTGCCCTCTCACTTTGCCTCAACTTCATGCGACAGGAAATGGAAGCAAGCTCCTGCCTTGACGTGGCCTCTTTTGCTGAAGCCTACGAGATGTCAGAGTTGCTCGAGGAATCCAATGACTTTGTACTGAGGAACTTCTGGGAGGTGTCAGTCACTCCAAAGTTTCAGGACTTACCGGCAGAGAAGCTTCTAGATATCATCCGCTGCGATGATCTGTGCGTGCCTTCAGAGTTGACTGTTTTTCGAGCTGTAATCTCATGGGTTGAAGCTGATCCTGAGGAGAGATTGGGCCAGGCTGGCCAACTGATGACCGGAGTACGGTTCCCCCTCATGACCTTTCGAGAGTTCAGAGAGGTCAGAGCCATTTACCTACGCATTGAGTGCTTTGGAAACAAGGAGGTGGAACTCTATGGTTCAGCACTCAAGGAATTTGGTTTTAGCCTTCCCGAAACCCAGGATCAGTGCCGGGTTCGGCATCCCAAAGACGCTCTGGTTGTGGTTGGTGGAGACCAGCTGAACCCAGATGGTCGTCAGCGCATACCAAACAAGGAACTTTGGTTTGCAAACTCCCTACGCAGTGGCCCAGGGTTGGTGAAGGCGATGGAGTGGAGGAGGCTGGGTGAGATGCCAGACAAGCCAAAGTTCAGGCATGGACTCGCAGCATTACTGGGAAGGTTGTATGTGATTGGAGGCTGTTACTACTACACCAAGGATGACGTGATGAAATCCGCCTACAGGTAATTGCAAATATACTTTTCCTAATTTCAATAATATATATGTCACATAGGTGCACAAAACTGGTCTCACCTTTTCCGTCTCTACCTTCATTGCACACATGCAAGTTATGACCCTGTGCAGGACAGCTGGAAGAGGCTAGCTGACATGCTGGAGTTTAGAAGCAACTTCTCAGTGGTGGTACAAGAGGGGTGTCTTTATGCCTTTGGTGGAGATAAGGAGATCAATACCAACGTAGACAGCGTTGAAGTGTACAACCCAGACACTGACTCCTGGAGGTAAGATTAGTGACGTTTCGCTTAAAACAGACTAATTATCTGAAGAATTTAGCTCAAAAGCGTCAGGTCCCTTTCCAAAGTGTCCTAAATCCTAAAGAGGATGTAGGTCAAAATATAAATACACAGTTTGGCTTATTTGAAGTGAATATACTTTCAGATTTCTTGCTGTTCTGAGTTAGTATCTTCATGGTTTATTTCACTTTTTGTAGGTCGCTTTGTATAAAAGCATCAGCTAAATTAAAGGGGACCTATCATGCAAAATGCACTTTTGTACGTCTTTTATACATGAATATGTGTCCCCGGTGTTCCAGGGAACTCACCAAGTGTCAGAAAACACAACCCTCTCTATTTTCCTCCATACCCAAATCTCAAAAAAAGGGGTTGCAACGGATCTGATAAAAACTGATCCAGATTTGAACACTGTCCTGACGTCAGGACGGTGGCGCTACGGCTATTGGGCCAACTCCACCAATCAGGAGGAGACAGCCACGGCCATTGCCGTTCGAAAGCGCTGGAGACGCTGTAGTACATATGCCAGGCCAGTAGGTGGTGCTGTTCTCACAGAATCAGCCCTTGCAAAAACAGGGCTAAAAAAGTGCAAACTGAGCGAAATGAGACATGGCTAAAATGCATGATCTGTTTGGTATTTTGAAAAAAAAAAAGTATAAATATGCCTTATATAGGTATGGTCCTACACTATATTATTATAATATAGCATGATAGGTCCACTTTAAGTTTAATTTAATATATCATGCTTGGGAATATGTCCCAATATTGACAAATAGACATATACTATTTAAAATTGGCCAGTGTTCATAATATTGATCAAATATCAATGATGAAAACTGTGACTTAACCTATATGTTGAATCTCTCTCCTTCTATACAAATGCAATACTAAATGTTGGCCAGCAGATGACACCATTTTGACTCTATCAAATACTAAATGTGTCAGTGCCTTGGAAACCTTTGTTACCTTCATCTCAAAAACCATTGAATGTTGACATTGAACAAATATGCCAGACATGTCTACTGTCTTTATTAAAGGAACAATGTGTTAGTATTTAAGGGTATCTATTAGCGGATTAAGTATAGTTTTTTATAACTATGTTTTCATTAGTGTATAATCACCTTAAACTAAGGATTGGAGTATGGACTATTATGGACTGAGATAGATTTAACTCCACTTCCTCCTTGTTTTAATTTTCCCAGCTTTACACAGCCCTTGGACCAGTCTCTGAGCGGCCATGCGGCCACTGTCCTAGATGGAAGAATCTTCATATCTGGAGGTTTCAACTGTAAGTACATGTGTCTGGTTTCCATGTTCCTGTACCACCCAGAGAGAGGAACCACCTACCTGGCAGACATGACCCATGATCGGGCCCAGCATTGCATGGAGCCACTGCGAGGCCATCTTTACGCCGCTGGTGGTGTGTGTAACCTGCGGACGTTTTACACTGACCAACAGGCCTGTGAGGTGTACGATCCTGTGGTTGATTCCTGGACTGCTTTCGCCTCTCTGCCTGTTCCTCATGTGGGCGCAGCCTCCGCCGTCCTGGAGGAGAAGATCTATGTTCTTGGAGGATACTGCCAGGACGATTACAGTGAGTCTGGACTGGTCCACAGGTTTGAACCGATCACACAGCGATGGGAGACCATGGGAAAACTGCCTGGGGCTGCTACTGACATACGGGCATGTCTGCTCCGATTGCCCCCGCACTTTAGGCTTTAGTAACTGAATGGTCAAGATTTACCTTTTTTTGAAACCTCTTTGGTGTGATCTGTTCCCCAAATTGTATTTA